GAAACCCCATCTCTACTAAAAATACAAAAATTAGCCAGGCGTGGTGGCACAACCCTGTAATCCCAGCTATCTGGGAGGCTGAGGCAGGAGAATTGCTTGAACCCAGGCGGTGGAGGTTGCAGTGAGCTGAGATTGCACCACTGCACACCAGCCTGGGCAACAAGAGCAAGACTCTGTCTCAAAAAAAAAAAAAAAAAAGGCTCATTGGGGTTCTGCGAACTGGGCATCTCTTCTTTATTACCCCATTCCACTGATGAGGAAGCAGAGAACCTTCTAGATCATCTGCCACACTCTGGGGGCAGAGTGTGGGTTTCAACTTTCCTCTTCTTCCTCCTCCTCCTCCTCCTACCCTGGGACTTCTTGACTTTCAGCTGGCAGTCGGGTCACTAACCCTTGACGGGCCTGTTTCCCCATATGAACAGTGGACAGAATAGTGGGATATATTTTCCTACACATCCTGGGTGCTGCCACAAGGCCCTGAAACCCCGCCCCCATGGTTCAGGGCCTTCCAGGGCCAGATGGCAATTTGTAGCCATTTATCGAGCCCCTATCCTGGCAGCAGTCAGCGTGAGAAGCAGACACGTTAGCGAATACTGCAGGATCAGAAGTTCAGAAAACAGAATTACAGAAAGAGCCAGGGCAGGCAGGAGCGATCTCGGAGTTGGGGTCCTAGGGCGAAAGGGTCAGGGGTCACAGGTGAAGAGTTGATGGGTCCAGAGGACATGGGGTGGGGTTGGGGGTGGGGGTCACAGGATCCAAGGGTTAGAGGTTGGAAATGATAGGATGAGAGAGGTCTGCTTCTATGGGAGAAGGTGCTGGTCTTACAGTCAAAGGGCAGGGATCAGAGGTCACAGAAGACAGAGGGAATGATCTCAGGTGGCATGGTTACAGGTCAGGGGTCAGCCTCACCTGGTCTCCCTGGCGGGCAATGATGGTGCCGGCTTTAGCGTGGTGCAGCAAGACTCGGCTGTTCAGGAGGGAGGGGTCCTGGGGAGGGAGGGGGGTTGAGATGGGGGCAGCCAGGCCTCCCTCATGCCCTGGGCCCAGCTCCCCTCGGCCGCCCACCTCGATCCGCATCAGCTTGGCCAGCTCCCGCTTTGCTGCCTCGAAGATGCTGCTGGTCTGGCGACCCTGGTAGGGCCCGAAGGGGCAGCCGCCGGTGGCCGACTCATCCTCACAGTAGCTGTATTCACAGGCGCCCGCTGGCTGCTCACGGGGCTCCTGAGTGGGGGTCTGAGTGGGGCAGGCTTGTCACCTCCTGATGCTCCCTCCCAGCCACCTTCCCCAGCGGACTCCACCACCAGCCAGGGTCCCAGGCCTTACCCGAGCGGGGGTTGCCTGGGACCCCCCGGAGGCCTCTTCCTGCAGGGACACGGAGATCCGGCCACGCTCATAGGCCATGTCGAAATCGGAGCGGGGGCCACCCTGCAAGCCTGCAGGTGAGCAGGGGGGCAACAAAAGCCATAAAGAGGAGAGTAAGATTTTTAAAAAATGAGCCGGATATGGTGGTATAGGCCTGTAGTTCTAGCTATTTGGGAGGCTGGGGCTGGAGGATCACTTGAGCACAGGAGTTCGAGGCTGCAGTGAGCTATGGCAGCACCATTGCACTCCAGGCTGGGAGACAGGTCTCAAAAGAAAAGAAAACGATGAGAGTAACCACAGTTGCAGTCTGAAACTAATGGATACCAACGTGCCATGGGCCACTGCTGTAGCAGACATGACCAATCAATGTCTGCACTCTCCCTCTGAATCCTTCTAAACATAGGTGGGAGAAGCACTATCTCAATGAATACCTACAAAAAAGTGCCCGGGGAAGTACTGGCAGTATTCCCATTTCGCAGATAAAAAAAAAAGTCAAGATGGGCAGGCAGTGGACCTGGATTCAAATCTGGAAGCCCCATGGCCCTCCCCCCAGACCCAGTGCTCCAAACCTGAGATGTCCCCTGGCATGGAGACGCAGCGGCTCAGCAGAGGGGCCGAGGTGGTTTCCAGGGATGTGGGCTTCACGGGGTCCCCTGGGGGAGACACATGTTCAGGCTCCTGCTCATCAGAGCCACTAGGCAGATTAGCAGGTTGGGAGATAAGGAGACGCTGCGGACGGATGAACTAGTGAAAGCAATTCCAATGGGTCCTTGGGGATGAGGCCAGAGCTTCCTGGGTACCAGTCAGGAGTCAGACATGG